AAAAAGTTATTTAAAAAAATTCTAAAATATTTTCAAAAAATACTAAAATAAAAATAGATAAAACACTTTAAAAAATAAAAATAAAAAATATGGGAGCCTCTCCCACAGTCTCGGCTACTTCCCAGCCAAGTTACATCTATTCGGCTAAAAAAATGTCATTTTGTGTAAAAACTGTCATTTTTCTCTGAAAAATGCCATACAGATGGCATTTTTACTCTTTGAAAATGTAAAAGTTTTCTAGAAAACTACCATCAAGATGGCATTTCGGACAAATTTTGTCATTTTTTCCGGTGGTCGGAGCTAGAGGTGGCAACATAGGCCTACATATTTTTTTAATATTTTTTTCTATTTTTATTTATTTTATTTTATAATTTTTTATTTCGAATTTTTTTATTTTTATTAATTTTATAAAATATTTATTTTGTGTTGTTTATTTTTTTACATTTTTATTATAAATAAAATTATGTTATTACTTTTATATTTTAATTAGGGAAAAGAGTCAAATAGGTCCTCGAACTTTCATAAAAAGGTCAAATAAGTCCTTATATAGGAGTCTCTGTCCGGCCGTCTCCATTTGGGGCGGTTCCCGGTGGAGCATCTTATTCACTAAGCCTAGGTTACTAATACCAAATTTCAACTAAAGATTCAATTGGGAACGCATTCAAATTTATTATTGAAGATAACTGCGCTTTTAACTGCGTAGTTATCTTCAAGAATTAATTTGAATGCGTTCCCGATTGAAGTTTTATCTGAAATTTGGTATGAGTAAACTAGACTTAATGAATAAGATGCTTAAAAAAGTTCATCAAAAAATTCCATCGGAAACCGCCCCAAATGGCGACGGCCGAACAGAGCTTCCTATATAAGGACTTATTTGACCTTTTTTCAAAAGTTCGAGTACTTATTTGACCCTTTTCCCTTTTAATTATTAATGAAATATGAATTGTATTAAAACAAAGAAATGGTAGAATTGGAAAGCTAGTCATATTTAGGAAAATTTTAAGTTATGGTTCTATTTTGGAAATAAAAATTCCAATTAGTCCCATTCGAGGAATTCTCCCTTGATTATTTTGAATATGAGCAATAACAATGACTCAGCTTGTTGGAATCTCTGATTTTATCAACCTCATACATTCTCGAATAAAGAATGGTCATGGAATGAGATACAAAATTAGAATTTTCTAACTTACGAAATTAGGAAAAATATCTTGCAACATAGACTATGGGTAAAAGAAGATAAGAGCCAAGGACAAAAAGAAGGGAAGTCGAAGAAAAATGAAAGAAAAAAAAAAGATGAGGAGACAAGGGTAAAAGAAGTGAGAATAAAAAGAAATGAAATGATATCACTTGCATAACTTAAATTTTAATTTATTTTGGCAGTTGTGCGACTTCTCCCTAGCGGCTTAGCGCCGCGTAGGGTTTTGTCTCCCTAGCGGCTTTGCCGTCGCGTAGGGTTTCCTTCCGCCAATTGTTTGTGTGGCTCTTCTTCTCTAGACTTCTAGAGTGCTTTTAAAGTTTAGATTGTTGGTTTTGGTTTTGGAATTTAGGCGGCTTTCAGATTATCCATTGGATCTCGAAGCAGCAACAAGATTTCATCTTTGTTTTCTGATCTCTTTTCTCGGTTTGTGCAAGACAATCTTAAAGGAGGTGTGATTGCGGCTGTAGCACACTTTTGGAAATGAATCCAAGGTTCAAGAAACGATAATCATGTCTTCTATGAAAGATCTAGAGCAGCGATGTCTCATTCCTACAATTGGGGAGGAGGTCGAAGGGTTAGTTTCTGGCAAATCAATATGGGTAGAGGGCGATGGTGATAGTGGAGGCGGAACAGGCGATGAGAAGGCGGGGAGAGGCTAAGGCCTGATCAAGGGAGAAGACAGATCGGCGGTCCGCCCCCCTCCTGAACCGCCGCCTTGGAGCGATCGAGGCGCTAGAATTTGGAAGATAAATTAGATATTTTTTATGGTTTTATTTTCGCGTTATGTTTTATGTTGCTATGTTTTTTGTTGATGTATTTAGTTTTAAGACCACAATTATGATTGATAAATCCACTAGATATTATGTCGTTAGAAGGATCTATATGGTCACTGATTGTTGAGTCACATCAGCTTGGTGGTTAGTGATTCGTATTGCTCTTTCAAAGATGACCGTTGTGAGTCTAACCGTATGGTCGATAGTGCTAGTTGGTTAGGGATAATTGTTGTCAATGTTGATCTTTTGAGTTTGCTGTAACGATTCAAATTCTAATGATATTAATATAAACCGTTTGCTCTGATGATAAAAAATTATTTTGGGCAGTTAATATTGATTTAGAATAAAATAAAATCAATAATATCACATGTAAAGTAAGTCTTGATGCGTATGTGTCGATCAAGTTCACATACCTCGAAAAAGAAAGATTGGAAACTCGTTATCTTTTTTGTTTTGGAAAATAGCGGGTTATATTGATAATAAAACATTCAGCAAGGGACAAAAGAGATAAAGGAATCACTTCCAGCCACCGACCCCCGAACCAGCCGGAGAACCAATCACCCTAAAAAGAGCAATATGATTCGCTGATCATATAACAGGTCTACATGAGCCTATCATGGCCAAAGCAAAAACCTCATCACCCCCACCTAATAATGTAAGAGTCTGACTAAAATAAAAAAAGCAGAAAACAACAACGACATTGTTCATGCCTAAGAAACTCAACAACAGTAAAACAAAATTTAATAAAATGAATCGACAGAGCAACCGAATCCATGCTTCAAACATCATCCTCGGCGGTGGCTCAGGAGGGGGACGGATCATCAACCCTTCATCTTGAAACATTCCCTGCAAATTCACCACCTCAATTTCCGATGGCATCCCCTTAATACCTGCGATTATAGCACGAGTGAACCCGGAATCCACGCTTGCTGAAACCTCCCCAATCGAAACTAGTAACACCCGCGAGGAGACCATAACCCGAGCAAAACATCGCAATCCAACTCTGCTTCTGCCTGCTTACCTCCAAAACGCCCGAAAGGATGCCCTCCTGCGTTCGAGTCTTCCACAACTTGTCGATCAACAACCTCCAAAGCCCGCAAATCCAAAGCCGAAAAACCTGCACAATAGTAGAAGAACAAGGGATGCCAAAGAGATGCCAATCGATCGGCAACAATTGCCGTCTCAAATTTCGACGAGCGAAGAAAATCCAAACCCTATGAAGGAGGGTACCAGGCCGCAGTCTATACTGTAAACTCTTTATCTAGATCACCGTTTTATCTGTTTTCCATATATATTTTTCTTAATTTTATTGATTCAATTTGATTAGAAAATTTCCAATTTTGAATAGTGACCAGTTTTTAGTTTTATTAATTTTTTCAATTGACTTATTTTTTCGTAATTCCCAATTTCTAACCAACCTTTATAAAATCGTGAAAACAATTTTGAATTTAGCATTTTAAAAATCAAAATTTCCATAGGTTTTATATCCAAAACCTCCCGTACTGTTCTTTATTATCTTTAAAACCTAAATCACTCAAAATTTAACTAAATGGTTGTGAAAAAATACATTAAAATTATGTATAATTTGCAAATAAACATCAAGATATCGATGGAAATTCAAAATTTTCAAAATAATGGTTTGAAAAATTTACGGATGTTGTACTTTGGTGATGATGATCTCTTGAATCACAACTTAGTAGACTTATGAATATGAAGTTCTAATAACATTCTCTTAATATTGTCATGCAATGCCTGGTATCCGAATAACTTACCGTTGAATAGTTATAAAAAAATCTATGATAGTAAGTTAGCAAGTTTTGTAATACTTTCTCTATGGAAAAAATTAAAAGATAAATTACATCAAATACAATTAATATTATTATCGATATATATGAAGTTTCTTCCCTATATCTGATAAAAATACGCATATGTAAAATTATTAATATATTTGTTCTACAAATTACCACAATAAATATACGAAGTATGATATACGTACTTAAAGTAAACACATGTTATTTTCATTTAAAATTCTTATAGTAGGCCAAAACGTACTTGGTTTGGGTCAATTATTTTTGGCACACCAAAGGGCCCCAAACCAAATACTAGTACTTGTTCAGTCCATTTTAACCCACTCTATAGCCCAATAAAGGGTAATCCTAAATGCAGCCACAATATTACTAATTACAATCCTCAATCAAATTTATGCCTATTATACCCTTGTATCTAAGCCAACAACGTCTCTCAGGTAACCAATGTTTCGCCGGCTTCTTGGGGGAAGCGTATATAGTACCACCGGTTGTACGGTGCTCACCGTACAGCCGGTGGCATTTTTGTAATTTACATAAAATTCGCGTCTCGTACTAAATGAGTATTAAACCACGCCTAGTGAGCCAGTGACATATTTTGTTGAGCATTAGAAGCATAATATTGAGCATCGTGATCTCTGCTTCATCTCTTTGAATTTACTTTCTTTTCCTTATTAAATTATATTTATAATCAACTCTTATGAACTCCAGTATGCGAATTTAATGCAATATGATACTTTTCAAATATACGCTGTTATGTCATATTACAAATGAGCATAACATGAATACCCGTTGAGCATATATAACTTATAAAATGAGAATTGATATGAAAATTATAAGTACTTTTAATTGAACATCAAGACATTTTTATTGAGCATCAACATGAAAAGTATCATCAATGATTTTCATTATGCGATTGTGATGAGCATCGAGTCTGTTTTTTTTAAATGAGCATAAAATAACACCAAATGAGCATATGTAACTTACAAAATGAGTATGAAAAAATTTAAAAGTCCATTTGTGTATGCTCATTCATTTTGGCCTTATACTCATTTGAGTTTAACATTAGTATGGTACGTTTGAAATGAGTATAAAGAGGTACCAAATGAGCATACATAACTCACAAAATGAGTATACATAAATTACGAAAAGAGCTGAGCATTAAAAAAAAACTCATTTAAAATGTGTCCTATGCTCAAAATTTGTTTTGTGTATGCCCATATCTGTACAAATATGTATAATTTAGGTTTCTTCTAAGTTGCAACCAAACAACTTACCAAACTCATAAAAACTGAAAACGAAAAAAGGAAAAAAGTTCAAAAAAAGAATAAGCCCAACTAGCCCTATACATCTCATCTGCCAGAGCCGCCATCTACCCAAGTTGGAAGGTGCTGCGTCAAGGGATTGCGTTGAGGGAGGTTGGCTAGTTATTTGTGAACCACGGCGAGCAAAGAACTTCTGGGCGAAGAGCCGATCGAGTGTGAGCGAAGTGCGAACGATCGAAGGTAGTGTACGATATACAGTTAATTGAAAAAATAAGTCAATTTCTTAATCTTAGTGTACAATATTCTGTTCAATATGTCTACTTTTGAGGCTTTTATTTGGTGGATTCGCATGCTGCTCTATACAGTGGGGATGTTTGGACGGGAAAACTGTTCACAAAACGTTCTGCTTTTATGTAATGATGATGATGATGATAGATTGCATAAGAAAAAGAATATTTTATTGCTGGTGGAATACAGAGTTGTTGGCTTGAAAAAAGTGAACATTTTAAGTTCAATTTATAGAGTGAAAGTTTGAGCTATTTTCATCTCTCAATTATTTGGTAGAGATAATAGGATGGATTTTGAAAAGCTTAAATTATGTTATTGGAAGCAACTAAATAGCTATGTGTAGTTAGTCTCTTGTCATTCTCAGAACACCTCCCACAGTCCCACTTCTCAGTTATTTAAAGCAAAAAGTGACTACAATCTAACACAAGTTATAAAAATCTGATAGATATTTTGACAAAAAAATTGAGGACTCTCAAGTAAATTGCTCCCCCCCTAGGGAGTTTACATTTATTTTTGTCATGTACTTGCATGTTCTTCAATGGACGGTATATATAGCATTATAGCTATGTTACTCCCTCTTCAGTCAGTTTTGGCAGGAGAATTTGTAATGCAAATTGCATTACTATAGATAGATATATAGATTTTCATCTCTGTTTATATGTTCTAATATAGGGTTCTTTTCTATTTGGCTTGTTAGTGTAGAAGATATCTAGATATGATAGCAGCTATTTCGTGGATTCCTAAAGGGGCTGCTAAGTCAGTCCCAGCTGCAGCTGAGCCTCCTTCGAAAGAGGAAATTGAAGAGATTCTCAAGAGTGGCATTATTCCAAAAGGGTAATCAGTATACTCTTCTTTATTCCTAAATGTGATTTGCTGATTTTATTTATATGAACATCTGAACTATCCTGAAGTCTTTAAATTCTAAAAGAGTAATGTAAATAAGTCTGTTTTTATAAGGGTGTACTACCTCCGTCCCACTATGTTTGGGACAATTTTGTTTACGATGCTTGACCGACGATAAAGCAAACAGATCCCTGTCCGCACTCAAGTTATTTTTAGGAAAAAAAGTTACATATTCAGAAAATACATTAAAAATTTTACAAAGTCGCAAAAACAAGAATCGAATTTGATAAAAATTTGATATATAAGAGATTAAGAGTGATTTGTGTTGACCAAGTGAATAGTGTATGAGACAATCTTAGCAGGACGGAGGGAGTCTTAAACATTTTTAAAATGTCTGGGTTTCATTTAAATGTGAAAAGTTGATATAATGATTGCGGTGAGTAGGATAGGAGATGAAAACATTTACGTTAAATGCTAAGTGTTAAAGGTCTCTCATCTAACTATCTAAGTGTATTGGCTTGTGGCAGTTCAAAGCTGTGATTCTTTGAAGAACCTGCTAAGTTTTTTCCCTGATTAATGCGTATAGTACTATAGTTAAAGTACAATAGATTTTGGTGGTTGTATTTCATGCTTTCCAACAACCTTGTTCAGAATTCATGCGCTTGTCAGAAACAGTGCACATGTAGAAGAAACAGCCAAATTTGAATAGCTTTTGTAAGCATTCCAACAGTACTTTATCTCATCAATAACACATCTATAACTTGATTTCTTCTACAAAAGTTACAGATGTGTTATTGATGAGATAAAGTTCTGTTTTTCTTTATCCATAAATGATCTTTCTAAAATACATCAGCGATGAAGCTGAAAATGGAGAAGACAATAAAGAAGACACTGATGAAGAAATGAGCATTGGTGCATCTGGATATGACAAAAATGAAGAAGAAAATGACGACCCAAAAGCCAGTGCTGCTAATATAACTGAAGCTATGAAGGAATTGGACATGGAAAATTATGATGATGAGGAAGAAGGTATCTCTGACTGCACTGGCTCACATACAGACATGTGTGTGTGCGTGTTATATCATTTTTGTGACTATATAACTCATTCAGAATGTGATTTTCATTTGTTAAGCTTTTCACAGGGAAATTTCTTTCTGAATTGTTATTTGCCTCACTTTTTTGTACCATTTTCTTCATTGCTTTTCAGGTGCCGAAATCTTTGGTCCAGGACTTAAGGACTTGTATTATCCAAGTAACAACTTAGACCCGTATCTTAAAGATAAGGATGTATGTTGTTTAATTGAGTTCTCATACATGCTTCAAACTCCGTGATCTGCTTTGCTGCCTCGACTAACAACTAGCATATTCCAATTTAAATATTAGGACTATGACTCTGAGGAGGAAGAGGACACTGCTATAAAACCAGATGATGCCGTTATTGTTTGTGCGCGTAATGAAGATGATGTCAGTCACCTTGAGGCATGTAATGGTTATTCTGTGAATGATAAATCACTTTCATGTATTTGTGACGTTTTTAATCTGATTATCGATGATTTTTAATATTGAATTCTTCAAACAGATATGGATATTGGAGGATTCTACAGATAATGAATTGAACATGTATGTTCACCATGATATCATAATTCCAGCATTCCCTCTGTGTACAGCGTGGCTTGATTGCCCTCTTAAAGGAGGGGAGAAAGGTTTGATACTATAGCATATGGGTTAAAACCCTTTAATTTTTATTATACCCCACCCCTCTAAAAAACATGTATAATTGAATGTAAGCATCATGTCTTTTGTGTGATTGTAGGCAACTTTATGGCTGTGGGCTCCATGGAACCAGCCATTGAAATTTGGGACCTTGACATTGTATGTTTTTTGAGGGATTTTGTGTACACATTTTTGTGTGCGTATATTACTATTATCATCATCATCATCATCATCATCATCATTCTTTCTTCATTTTCTTTGTGAATAGATAGATGAAGTTCTACCATCTGTTGTCTTAGGAGGCGTTTCTGCAAAAAAGAAGGGGAAAAAGGTGCTTCCCATATGAATTAATTTCTCCACCACATTTATTTACAACTATTCAACAACTATTAGGGTCTTTTTCTGCCATTTATTGCATATTTTGTGCACGCTCTATTTCTCGTTTAGTTTTTCATAATCATCTCCTGACCTATGTGTCTAGCACTCTAGCTACCCTAACCTTATCACTGATGATAAATGCAGTTATACCTTTTTAGATTGATGAGCATCAGCTAGACATATTTTTCTAATAATTTAATTTATTTATTTAGAATCTATTTCATTTACATATCTACTCCCTTCATCCCACTCACAACTCTTCCTCCTTTACTTTTGAAGTAAAAGCTCGTTAACATTGACACTTAATTAGTTTTTTTAAACTTATAACATGAAAGTACTACGAAGTATCAAACAATTTTTAATGTGCATTATTGCAATAATTATTTACTATAGATTTCATTTATATATAATTATAAATAATACTCCGTAATTGTCAAAGTCATTGTCAAAGATCGACATTGCAGACCTAAAAGTTTAAGTGGAGTAATGATAGAGTCCTAAGAATATTATCAAGTCCTTTTGTATTGTGTAATAAAAGAGGTTGGGCCCGATAACTAATTGGGGGATGGGTTGGCCCATTAGCAAAAGAATAAGTAAGGTGAGCTGGGAATAGGAAGGGGAGGTTGGAATTATCTTAGGCTTGGGACTTGGGACTGGGAGTCGGAACCTTGTTACGACTTGGGAATTGTATTCGTATATCTCAGTTTAATCAATAAACTTCTGCTTTCGATCTTCTTCACCAATTTTGAGCTCAGAATTTCTGATTGAATTAGCCAATCTCTATCATTTGGTATCAGAGCCTCGATCGTGAGACCTCCTTATGGTTGCTACCAGACGCAACATGGACGATCGTTTGGAAACACTGGAGCGCGAACTGGCGAGGCAGGCGGAGAAATTCGATATCGAGTGGGAGAGGGATCGCGAGGAGGCGCGAATCCGGAGTGAGGAGGTTAATCGCAATATCGCGATGATGATGGAGAAGCTCGATCACCATTCCCGCAGTCGATCCAAATCCTCCAAAACTAGTTCGCGGCATCGCAGTCGATCCAAATCTTCCAAAGACAGCTCGCGGAAGAGTAGCTGCGACTCCAGTTCCACTGCAGGTAATCTGCGATCGACTCATTCTAAGCGTGCTGATAACCACAGTAGACTGATTGAGAAATCTGGGAGAAAAGTGGATTTGCCACTCTTTAATGGTTCAGATGCTTATGGATGGACCATTAAGGTTGAGCGTTTTTTTAAACTGAACCATATTGCTGAGGAAGATAAGATTGAGTTGGTTACCTTAGCCATGGAAGGAAGAGCTTTGAATTGGTATCAATGGTGGGAGGAACATTCAAATGTTAGAAACTGGGAATTATTTAAACAGGCTTTATTAGAAAGATTTGAACCAGGTCTGGAACAGGATCCTTATGGTCCTTTGCTTAATGTGAAGCAGACTGGGAGTGTGATGGATTATCGGGATGAATTTGAGCTAGTGGCAGGTCCTTTGAAGAACACTGATGTAAAATTTCTCAAAGGAATTTTTATGGACTGAAAGCCGAAGTTAGAGCTGAGTTGAAGTTGAATCCAGTTAGTACTCTAACAGAAGTCATGAATAAGGCCTTGAGGGTAGAAGAAAGAAACCAAACGCTGAATCCCACAAAGAGTAAGGAGGAGGAAAGAAGAGGGCCAAAGGGGAATATTTCTTCACAGACTCACAGATGGTTGAATGAGGACAAGTGGAAGAATAGTTTGAGTAACCAGAATATTTCTGAGAAACCTACCATGGAGAAGAGCAATGAAACAGGAGATAAGGAGACTGGAATAAGGAGTACACACAGATTGTCTCAAGCGGAATTGCAGGAGCTGAGCAGAAAAGGCCTTTGTTTCAAATGTGGAGAACAGTGGGGAAAAGGTCACATTTGCAAGATGAAGCACTTTCAGATCATAATGCTAGATGAATCTGATGATGAGGATGGATTGGTAAAGGATTCAATGGCAATTTGTCCAAAATGGGAAGGGGCAGGTACCTCTAATATGCAGCTGTCTTTCATGAGCAAAGAAGGAGTCACAGCCCCTAAGACTTTCAGAGTGAAAGGGAAATTAACAAGTGGCAGAGGGACTAAAAATATTATCATTCTAATTGATTGCGGGGCTACTCACAATTTTATATCTCAAAGAGTAGCTCAAACAACTGGAGTACCTGTCCTCCAGATCCCAGAATTTAGAGTGGGAATAGGGAATGGGGACATAATAAAAAATGATGGGAGATGTGAAGCTGTTTCTATTAACATACAACAAACTAACATCATTCAAGACTTCTATGTCTTAGAATTGGGAGAAACAGAGATGGTTTTGGGATTAGAATGGTTGGCTGGATTGGGAAATGTTGAATTTAATTTCAAACAGCTAACTATTCAATGGGAGGAGAAAGGGGTTGTCAGGAAGCTCAAAGGGGATACCACTCGCAGCAGAAACCAAGCTTCTTTCAAACCCATCATCAACATTATTCAAGCAAGAGGAGAAGGATTCTGTTTGATCAGTTCTGCAAAATCTGCAAATGAATTGGAAAAGGAGAAAGAAAGTCCCTGGAAAAAGGAAGTGATCACAGAAAGTGCTGAGGTATTCCAACATAGAGATCCTGTAGCCTGGATGGAGGTTATGTTCAGAGAAAAGTTTGCTAATAATGATGAAGAGGCTGAAACAGCAATGCACCAACAACAATCAACTTATGGGATGCTGCACTCTATGACTCCATTTCAAGATTTGTTTACCCCAAGGTTGAAGATAGACTCACTGCTCCTTAATATCCAGATTATATCTGAAATGATCATCAATGCTTTTGTCCATTTATTTCTCTATTTTGCAATATGCAAAATGAAGAGAGAAGGGAGTGCTAGGATGGGCTTCACACATACCCTAGCAGCAGGGGAGGCACTTAAAAGTGAAGCATTCAAACTATCCAAGTGGGTTGTGGATTCGAGGATTGAGCCAATCCCAGCAGTTGTACTGAGTAGCAAGTTACATGCAGAAGAGAACTGTGGTCTGCACGGTTTGAACCAACAGTTTAAAAAAGGGAAGAATGCTGAACTGGAGTGGTTTAATGGTAGGAACAAGGGGTATGGGCTGCAAAATCTGGAAGGAGTATTTGAAAGGCGTGCTATCAGTCAGTATATTGGAAGAGAGGTGCTGGATGTGAAGGCTTATGAGGCAGCAGACCGCAGCACTAAAAGAAAATACAGAGAAGGGTCACCACAATTGTACTTTATCAGCCTGGAGAATTCTGAGGCTGCTGAGGTGAAGGGAAGGACAATAGAGACACCTCCTGCTGAAATAACAACTGAGATTTTGGAAGTTCATGCACTCAAGAGAGCAGTAAAGAAAGCAGAGGGGTATTGGGAAGGAAGAGGTGCAAAAATGAAGAAGAAATTGTTCAACAGAATGATCTCCTATGACCCACCTTGAGGACAAGGTGGTTGTCAAAGGGGGGAGTGATGATAGAGTCCTAAGAATATTATCAAGTCCTTTTGTATTGTGTAATAAAAGAGGTTGGGCCCGATAACTAATTGGGGGATGGGTTGGCCCATTAGCAAAAGAATAAGTAAGGTGAGCTGGGAATAGGAAGGGGAGGTTGGAATTATCTTAGGCTTGGGACTTGGGACTGGGAGTCGGAACCTTGTTACGACTTGGGAATTGTATTCGTATATCTCAGTTTAATCAATAAACTTCTGCTTTCGATCTTCTTCACCAATTTTGAGCTCAGAATTTCTGATTGAATTAGCCAATCTCTATCAAGTAAGAGTATTCGTTTTTACTTTTTTTTGCTGAAAGAGTGAAACACAGAAAAAGGTGGGTTATGGCACACTAACTTTGTGCAATGTATTACCTCTCAGTGAATTATATTTCTTTAGTGATACGCTTCCTCCATCCCAAAAGTTTCTTCCCATTTCCTTTTCATGTTGTTATTCTTCCATTCCTTTTTACAGTAACAGCAACCGTGGAAATTTACTTTACTAATAAACATGCTAAATCAAACTGGTAAGAAATTATTGGGATGAAGGGATAATTTCGATAACATTGTTTCATACTTTCATCTGGCACAGTGAAAACCTTACTTTGGCTCACCCCTTAAGTTCTGGCAGCTAACAGTGTAAGTTCGGTAAATGGTAAATCCAAATCCGAACAGAAGTTTTTAGGGTTGGTTTCAGTGGCGGAGCCAGAAATCTATGGTTAAGGGGGTCAGACCTTAAAAATTTTACATTGTAGGGGCCAAAGTTTAAAATATCAACATATTTTCTATAGGTTAAAAGTATTTATATATAATATATATTTGAGAATTTTTTTCTTTGCGGGGGCCGAGGCCCCCTCCAGCCCCTCCCTATCTCCACCCCTGGTTGGTTTGGTTGTTGGATGTGTAGTTGGCAGGTTCTGTAGACAGATTAGAGTATGTGTCATTAGGTTCTATCCATTTATGTTGAGCTGATGATAAAGCCTCTTACAAAGTTGACATGTTTTTTTTTTATTTCAGAAATCGATCAAATACAAAAAGGGCAGCCACAAAGATTCAGTACTTGGCCTTGCTTGGAACAAGGAGTATAGGTATTAGAAGAGTTTTATATGTTACTTATTGTAGTTACCAATCATTTACCTGAAAAATGTTTTATTTTTATTATTCCTGTTGTCATTTATGCAGAAATGTTATAGCTAGTGCTAGTGCTGACAAATCAGTCAAGATTTGGGATGTGTCAACAGAAACATGTAATCTCACTATGAAAGACCATGATGACAAGGCAAAGGACATTAAATTTATACTTATTAGCTTACAGATATATAAGCATAACATTTTTCTTTCTCTGATTACCTATGTGTTGTTTCTGCAGGTGCAAGCAGTTGCGTGGAATCCATTTAAGCCCCAAATTCTTCTTTCCGGATCATTTGATCATTCTGTTATCTTGGTTGGTATTTGGCATTTGCCTCTGAGATTGTTATATTCTTTAATTCCCATTTCACTCCATAGCTAGATAAAAAAATCATTACTTTTCAAATTTCCTTCATTGTGAAAGAGATATAATGCATGTTGCAGAAGGATGTAAGGCAACCATCTCATGATGGATTTAAGTTTTCAGTGGCTGACCAAGTTGAGAGCTTGAAATGGGACCCCCATGCCGAGCATTCGTTTCTGGTTAGTTCCAGACTTCCAGTTATCTTTCTCATAAATAATATTAGTTCTGACCGGGGTTTTATTCTTTTTTTCTTTAAATTAAATTATTTATTTCAGGTGAGTATGGAAAATGGAACCATAACTAGTTTTGATATTCGGGTGGCTGCTGATCCCAATTCTACTTCAAAGATGAAGCCAAATTTCACCCTTCATGCTCATGACAAAGCAGTTTGCTCCATTTCTTTTAACCCATTGGTGCCAAATGTATGTACAACATTTTCTTTCTTTTAGATGGGTCATGGATGTGTAAATGCCTGATTACTCCATTAGCTTCTGAAGTGATCTAATTTTACTTATTTATTTATATATTGGTAGCTTATTGCAACAGGCTCCCTAGATAAAACGGTATTCAACTCTTCTCCTGTCTCCCTAATTAAATCTATATCTCTAACTGTTCCTGGTAAGATTCTGATGGAGACCAACCAACTGCAGGTAAAATTATGGGATTTGTCCAACAATCAACCTTCATGTCTTGCCACGAGGAATCCCAAAGCGGTATGTGCATGTGTTATTGCTTTTATTTGAAGAAAGAATTAGTTGTACCTTGACTACCTTCATGTGAAGGAAAAACTATTTAGCCACTTTTTTCGGCCGGAAACATGACCAACCACCACTTTGCTTTTGCCAGGGGGCTGTATTTTCTATTTCCTTCTCAGATGACTGCCCGTTCTTGCTAGCTATAGGCGGCTCTAAAGGAAAGCTTGAGGTGGGTATTAATTTGGAGTACTATGTTCCGTTTTCATGTTTCATTTCTGTTCCCCTGCTCTCCATTTCCTTGACTTGCACCATGATATACGGAGTATTAGGTAATGATTTTCTGTTGAGCGTATCCACAATCCACTAACGAATAATGAATACGCAGATGTGGAATCTTTCAACCGAAGATGCTATCGCCAGGAAATATGATCAGTATGTTCGCACAAGGTCTAAATCTAAGCAGTAATTTTAATGGATTTTGAAATCCATTTCTTGTTTTATGTATCAATGTGAGGATTGTGAGCCTGCCAAACTTGCTAGGTTGCAACAATTTTGTAGATGACACATCATTTTTTTAGATTATATGAATTCACACACTTGCAGGTGTCCTTTATGACCTTTTTTTGTCCACAGCTCTGGCCTAGGTGCAAAAAAACGTTTCTCCCTTTCTCATTTAAACCATCCTTTTTGCTGCGAGGCTAAACTGAATAGGTCAATCCGTCTATGTCACAAAGATTTGCCTATTTACGTGAGTATAAGCCAAAGTTGTCTTTTTTGTAACATAAATAATATTCCCTGCGTCCCACTATGTTTGGGACAATTCGATTTACGATGCTTGACCGGAGATAAAGTAAACAGATCCCTTTCCGTACTCAAATTATTTTTTTAGAAAAAAATTACATATTTAGAAAGTACATTAAAAACTTTACAAAGTCGCAAAAATCAGAATTAAATTTGATAATTTTTTTTATATAAAGAGATTAAGAGTGATCTGTGTTGACCAAGTAAATAGTGTTTGTGACAATCTTAGCGGGATAGAGGAGTAATAGGGACTGAAATAGTGTAACCTACGCTAGGGATTCAAAACAAAATTTCTAGCTACCTTATAAAAAAATGTCATAATTGAAGAGTCATTAACGAGACTGAATAAGTAAGGGTGGACTCGGGCTGGGTGGCCCGGCCCGGTCACTGTTTGAACCGGCCTGAACCGCCGGCCCGGCCAGGGACCGGTCCGGGTAGGCCCGACCCGCTGGGGTTCCGGGCCGGGCTCGGGCCCCTGAAAAGGTGAACCGGTTCGGGCCTGGTCCGGGCCAATTTATTTATTTTTTCTTTTTTTTTTGAATGTTTTTGAATTTTTTGGGTTGAGTTTGGTATTTTGGGCCATTTGAGGTGGTTTGGGGGTGAGGGGGAGGGTTAATTAGGAAAAGCCCAAAAAAAATTAAGTTGAACTGAGGCCCGACCCGGCCCGGTCCGAATTGGACCCGCGGGTTACCAGACCGGTTCCAGGCCTCCCCTTTCATGAACCTAGGCCCGGTTGGGACTAGGCCCGAACCGGCCCGAGTCCACCCCTATGAATAAGCTATCAACTCACAAGAATAACGGAACTTTATACATAGCTAAAAAAAGTGGGAGGAGTATTTGGATGGATGATTTATATTGCCTCTCACCAACACTTCCATTTTTATTATTTCAAAATCACATTACTTTTCGAACATTATTATTATTTTTTACTATTAGTCACTTTACATATACTCTATAATTAATGGCATCTCAAAAAGTAGAAGTAAATGCGAACCCTCCTTGATTCCCCGTCTATTCAATGTTTTAATTGAACATACATTGGACATGGACTCCATCTAGGATTTATTTCCAAAGAGTAATTTAGTGTGTTTAAAGAATCTTTATATATATAAAGAGATTGGTGGAGATCCAAATCTATTTGGAGCCAAAAGAAGTGAAAAATTGTTGTAACTATTAATAAAGCATTACTTAATGAAGTCATATTAAGTGTCAACCTAATTAATTGTTGTAAGTTATAAATAAAACTTTAGAAAATTATTGTCACTATTAATGAAGCATTACTTAGTGAAGTCATATTAATTGCCAACCTAATTAATTGTTGCAAGTTATAAATAAAACTTTAAAAAATTATATTGAGCATAAATACATTAAATATTAAAAAAATATTAGAAAAATATTTAAAGATACACATACATAATTAATTAAGAGACATAATATAATAAAGTTAAAAATGAAATGTTCTAATTTCATAATATAAAATAGAGTATTACAATATATTTGGATACAAATATTATGTAAAGGACAATGATAATATTCAGTACCCCCATTAAATGTGTCCAGAATTGACTTGCATGTGGAATATAAATAAAATAAAAAATACTTTGTATGTGATTGAGATTTTTACAAATCAATTGAGAAAAATAATTTACCTACACATTTATTAGTTTAAATGGAAATGACAATTTTTGTTGGGGCAGCTGCAAAAATAAAGTTAGCACAATTTAACGAGATGATGGAGTAATTGTTTTTTATAATTAGCTGCAACATAAAATACAAAAATTCATTCATTTAATTCTACTATAACTATTCATTAGTAAATAAGTAACTATTTTAAAAATCCGTTGAAATCACAATTTTAAATAATGGTTCCCAATTTTGAAATGATTTTTAGCATTTCCAATTTTGTTACAATTGGTTGAATGATATTGATCTGAATTATACAATTTTACGATTCAACTCGCGATTTTACCAAGATATGTAGTTCTTATAAAACATATAGTAATTTTAACAATCTTGATCTCTAGCTTTTATAAAACATATATTGGGATGAATGAAGAGATATTATGGAGTATAAAATAAATATTTTCGTTTTTTAGATGGAATACATTTATAAACTTTAAAACACAACAAGATAGTAAAAAGTAATGTCATGTGTTGAATAATCATCATAATTATAACTAAACAATACTAGGTATGAGATTGTAATATGACTACAATTGTTATCACCTTCATTAGACAAGATATGTTAGGGATGAAAGAATACTTATTTGGTAGTTTTATACTAATTGGTGTATCTCTAACAGACCAACAATTATCATACATGTATTCTAATATAATTCTATATGATGTTTTTATTTTTATACAATAAGTATGTATATACACATTACTCAAGAAATGAATTATTTGTAAAAATAAATTGATTTCATTTGTTAAGATTAAAGCTGAGTGTTGGTACATAAAAGGAAAAAAGAAACACATAAAAAAAATAGGCATGCTTGCACCATGGTTGTACCTTCATTCTTTAGAGGCAATCACAACAGTCAAGAATTCAGATGGACACAAATAAAAATTAGCACAGATCAGGACGATACATTAGAACTTGGGCACTATAAGTGGTACAAACAGCTATGGTTCAAGGAATTGTTGCTTTCACATGCAACATAAGTGATACATCATACATCCTAACAAAGAATTGTTTCTTCTTTTTTTATTGCAATGTTCTCATCTAGCTTTACTTTCAGTAGTTTTCATTTGTAAACCATCCCTTGAAACACAGAAGTCCAGATTTGCATCCATGTTAAAAACCTACCTTGGAACTTTTTTTCCTGTCTTGGCAAATCAGAACCATTTAAATGAAAACTTCACATTTTCTTCCGAGACCTACAGAATAGTGTCGGACTATTTAGAAATGGCTGCTCATATCACTAAGAACGGTGTCGAACTATTTTGGAATGTCTATTCAAATCACACTTCAAAAGAAGGGTTCATAATAATAGCTGATATATTTTAGGAACCTTTGTGTGTTTTGGAAACTCATACTTTATTATAAATATACCTACCAGGGCTCCTAAGGGAGTTAACCCTTTCCCATTATTTCACATGGTATCAAGAGCCAAAACCTAATTTTTTTCCTTCTCCTTCCTACTCGTTGTTTTTGCCGTAGCGATGACTTCCTCTTCTCTGGGATCATCCGCCGCCATGTCTTCTGAAGCCATGACTTCCGCCGCAGCCATCTCATCCATGGCGCCGGAATCCACAATCTCGTTGATGGATAGTCTACCCGGGGGGTATCTTATCCGGGGGGTTATTGCGGGAATAACTAGAGAGAAGTCAGAGCAAATAGGAGGAGAGAGAGTCGATTTTATTAAATGAACTCAGCGTGGTTTACAAGGTGAATAAGGGCTGCTATTTATAGCAACAATAAATGCGATGAGAGTACATGTGTCAACGATCCAACGGCCGAGGGGTCACGTCAATCAGGTGGCACTGGCAGTGGCATGTTCACCGCATTGAATGCGGTGGGCGGATGTGACGTCGTATTAAATGCGGTGGTTGGCTGTCTCCAAAGGGAATCTTCGATGATTGAGCCTGTTTGACCGAAGGCTCCTCGAGTAGCCGAGGGCTCCTCGTGTAGCCGAGGGCTAGGTTGTGGCCGAGGGCTTTTCATAACCGAAGGCTCGGTTCTTCACCCGAGGGCTTCTCTAATGCCGAAGGCCTCACAGTGCCGAAGGCTCCTGTTTTTCTGCCGTTTTCTCCCAGTAGCTTCGTATGTCGGACAAGTCTATACTGTGAGTTTTAGAGCCTTCGGCCAAGGAGGCCGAAGGCACCCCAGTGTGTACTTCGGGCTTCTTTGAGGCTTGGGCCGTTGTATTTTGGCCTCAGATGCTCCCTGGGCTTAATGGGCTTTTGTGGGAGAAGCAGGAGTCTATGGGCCGGGGGTTCCTGGGCCATATATGTGACACCGCGCCCAAACGTCCTTGAAAATTCCATTTAAAATTCAAAGTTTACGTAGTGAATTTCCGACTTCCAAACAATTGTAAAACGATTAATCTTTTACGTAGTACATGGTTGATTATTGTACTGTTCAAACTCGTACATTAGTGTCGGGCTTTGCAAATATTATTTTGGGCCCATCCTGCTAAAAATAGCAAGTATTCGAGAATGGCGTCCTAGACCCACTCGGGAGTGACCCACACGGCTAGTAACCCAATAATATGTATGACAATGTCAAAATAAGTGATAGAATGATTAAAGAAGAATACAAATGCCTATAGCCCCATCTTTGGCATTATTGAGCTAAATAATGGGAGTAGGGTTTTTCTTCTATAATATTCATCACATGAGTTGTTGGGATGATCCTACACATATTGGAAATCAATTATATGATGTAGGAAGTTAACTTGTTCTAAATGAATTAGGATGAGTACAAAAAGACATCTTTTGACAAAAGATTAAACAATAGAACCCATTCTTCCATTTTTGGATGTATTAGTTAATATTTTGCTCCCAAAATAATTGGGGAACAACATGCTGCGCCCCATCTCTTCCTTCCACCTGAAAGACAAGAAAAATAATGTTAGGAGGCTGCCATATCTGACTTTAGGGGCTGGACTTGACAAAGGAAGCAAGAGGGAACCCCACCTAGTCTATTTTCGCACAAAAGGATGGTGCTGGTTGTCTCCCTCCATGAGTGATGTTATACTCGACCAAATAAGGTGCATGAGGTGTCCTTGGATAGCCTTTGAAGTCTAGTTTCTTATTTGAGTGGTCTCTGTTCAAGAAGGGAGAGTTTATCCCACAAAACCCGAGCTGGAGTGAACTGCTGTCTGTAAACTCGAGCAGTGAGAGTGCTGAAGCTGTTTGGATGATATCTAGAGTTACACAAATCCAATTAGGGCGAGTAAGATACCAAAAGAAATCTCTCAAGACTAGGAATCCGTGAAGGTCTGGTTTGCATCAATCGGAGTAGTGGAAGGATTCCAAATCGTCCGAGCAAAACGCAACCTCGCAGAAACGGATCTACACTTCTAAAGTGAGTTGTTAACCCCAAAACCTTTCCTTTCATTTTCCAAATGATATGAACGATTGGTGGAACTATTGTACACTAATCCAAGTTTATAATATGTCCTTATAAAGTTATTTTATTGATGTAAAGGTTAGATACTAACCTAGAGCAAATCTTGGAAAACTAGGAAACGAGTTAACCGGAAAACACCCATTCTAGGGGCTGTTTTTGTATCGACGATTAGGGGTTGAACTAGCACTTTGAGGAGGCTGTTTAACACTCATTTATAAGCAAGGAATCAGTTCTCAAGCTCCCTTGGCCGAGGCTTTGGTCATTGGATCGAGAAGGAAAGTTTTAAAGCTCATTTGAGGTGAGGATTGACATCTAATTGCTTACAACTTGTAGGTTAAGCATGAGATTACCTAAATGCCTAAATCATAATATTTTATGGATTATGATGATTATATAATGATGAAATATGGATATAGTTGCCAAAGAATGAAATTGGAAATGATTTGAGAACGCAGGAATAAAATGAGATTGAATGAGTTATAAATGAACTATTTTGTGAAATGGACATTTTACTCATGTATGAATTATGTGGATACATAAATGAATGTTTATGTATTGAGATTGAACACTTAAGTTGCTGCTACATAATTATAAATATGTAGAGGATTACAATTAGTGAACATATTTGTATGATAACAATAATCTTAATAGTATTGAAATACTAGTTAGTGATTATTGGAAATTGTTGATGGAATTGATCCTAGGGATTGGATTGTATGAAATGCACTTGAATGTACTTCAAGTGTATATGATGACTTAGTATGAAACTAAGGTTAAGTGGTGGGAAGTCTTTGAGGATGACCCATGGTAGTTTATTGATATGTCAATTCTAGGCATAGGGTTGCTTAAGAATTGGACCTTCATGCATGGTGATGTGATAGAGCCGAGCTCTAGGATGCATGGTAAGGTGGTAGACTTGTAGTCTATGTATTGAATAGCTAGAGCCGAGCTCTAGGGCTTGCGTGGTGATGTGATAGAGCCGAGCTCTAGAACGCAAGGTAAGGACATTGACCCGAGTGACATGAATTGTATGGTGATGTGGTAGAGCCGAGCTCTAGAATACAATGTCATGTGTTAGGGTTGGACTCTATGAGTTGTCGTGGCTTATAGCCACGGGGAATGGGAATGGTGATTTCTAAATGAACATGGGCCCACGGGCCGACTACTTGACTTTTACATAAAGTAAGTATATTTTCAAACGGGGTAACTTAGGGTTACAAATCATAATGTACTATCACCCTATTTGAGGGTCTTGTGTTTGAAATACTTGTTATATATCTATTAGATGCCTCCCACACCAGTACTTTATAGCCGTATAGAGTACTAACCCCTTCGGGGGCGTCCCACCACCATTTCAGGTTGAGGCTAGAGCTTGCATCCTGTGCTCGTTGATCGAGTGATCCCTCGGAGAGAAGACTTGGTTCGTGCTTCCTCCATTCTATTTGAAACATTAATAAATTTGCTCATGGATATTTTACTATAGAGCCTGCGTGCTCATGAATAGCCCTGTGTGGCTCTTTTGTTTTAAACAATGTTTCCGCTGCGTTATGAATTACTTATTATGTTTGTTTATGAATGTTATGTGTGTGAATGATATTCAAGACGCCTTGTATAATATGAATGCGTTGGACTGTGGTTGACTATTCGTACTGTACGGCGGGTTGTTGACGTGTCCGGGGAGGTCCGGGGCGTGACAATATACTCCATCACTCGTTTGCTAGTTCAATCACTCAGCCTGGTTTCTTCTCATCAACGACTATGGCTCCAATCTCCGGCGCGATTGGCACTCCGATTATGCGGCCGAGAAGCTCTGCCTTATTCACCGACTTCCCTCCTCCTCCGGTGTTCTCTGGTGCCGAGCCATATTCCCTTTTCTAGTCACTCCCCCCGCGATTTCCATGGGAGCCGGCACGAGTTCAGTCTCCTGGAATGACTCCACCACCTCCGGTCGCCTCCTCCTTCTCAGGCTCATCCTTCTCTGGCTCTCCAGGCATACTTTGACCCCCAGATCAGACCGGTTTTTGTTCCCCGATGGCATCTCTCGCTCAATCTGTGTCCCATATTACCACTGTTTCACAGATAGTCACCATCAAATTAAAAGCCGTGGAAGACTACCTCACTTGGCGTACTCAGTTTGAATCCTTCTTGGTCTCTCAAAGATTGTTTGGCATTGTTGACGGATCTATTCAGGTACCCCCAATGTATACTGTTGATCTTGATAATCGTCCAGTTCCCAATTCCGAGTACTATTATTGGTTACGTGTAGATCAAACAATTCGTTGTTGGCTATTTGCTACATTAACTCGAGATGTTTTAGTTGATGTTCATGACTTAAAACATTCTGCTGCTATCTGGGCTAGACTTCAACCTAGATTCATGTCTGCCAGTTTACCCCGGTGCATGGAACTTAAACGATTATTGTCAACAATTAAGAAGAAAGAAACTCAGTCTATGGAACTTTATTTGAGAGATATCAAGAATTTAGTGGATCCCCTTGCTGCAATTAACTCCCCTGTTTCGGATAAAGAGCTTCTCCAATCTATTTTGGCTGGCTTGGGACCGGAATATCGATCCCTAGTCACAACTGTCTCTTTATTTACGGACCAATTTCCCTTTGATATTTTGCAACACTGACTTCTTGAAGAAGAACAACGTGTTCTTTATGAGCGACAACAACAAATTTCAGACTGGACATCAAGCTTTTGCAGCTGCTGCAGCACCCGGACAGCAGCCACTTGGGCAGTATTATCGCGGCAGGGGGGCCGCGGCCGAGGTGGTGGTCGCGGCAGAGGAGGCCGCGGCCGTGGCAGAGGTGGCCAGCCTCCCTACGGTGGTCCGCAGCAGTTTGGACAGCCTGCCTTCGTAGGACAGCAGCAACCTGGCCAGCCCTTTTATGGGTCCCAGCAGTTCAGCGTACAACAGCCGGGTCCCTCGGCTCCAGGGTTCGGTCAGCAGCCAGTTCAGCTTCAGGGGGTGCCTAATACACGACCGAGCACTTCAGGTCCTGCATGTAATTCTGTTGTGTCATTTTTAAATACTTCTCCCTATTTTATTTATGGTACTCACACTAGCTATGCAGGTTTTCCATCAACTGAGGGTATTCTAGGTTCTGTCCCACCTCCTGTGGTTTGTCAATTATGTTTCTCTGCAGGTCACTCTGCTCTTCAGTGTCCTTCTCGATTCAGTCAGCAGTCTGCACCGGCTCTACTTACTTCCAATGGCGAAACTAATACTGCTTTATGGTATCCTGATCAGGGGCATCAGCTCACATGACTCCAACAGAAGGTATTTTAGTTTATAAATCTCCTTATACGGGACCACTTTCTGTTAGTGTAGCAAATGGTTCTAAGCTTCCCATTATTACTACTGGCGATATTCATTTAAATTCTTCTCACCGTCCTCTCACGCTAAAATCTGTTTTTCATGTGCCTCATATTAAGTTTAATTTGTTATCTATTCAAAAACTTTGTGCTGATAACAACTGTGTAGTAATTTTTGATAAAAATTCTTTTTTTGTAAAGGACAAAGTCTCGGGGGTGGTCCTTCTTCAAGCTCCTAGTCAAGGTCACCTGTATCCGGTCAACCTCAGTTCGTCACCACCACTTGCTCTGTCATCTCTTACTTCGTCTGGCCCTATGTGCCATCGTAGATTAGGCCATTGTGGCAGTTCTGTTTTAAATATTCTACGCAGTCAGAATCATATTTGTAGTAGTTCCAAGTTTTCTCATGACTGTATTTCCTGCCGTTTAGGCAAATCTCAACGTTTACCTTTTCAAGATGCTAGTCATAATACTATGATGCCTTTGCAATTAATTCATTCTGATGTTTGGCAGTCTCCTATTTTGTCCAATTTGGGTTTTAAATATTATGTCTGCTTTATTGATGATTTTTCTCGCTTCACTTGGATTTATCCCATGCGCAACAAGGCTGAGGTTTTTACTCACTTTCAGGACTTCAAAGCTTTAGTTGAAAATTTGTTTTCCACTAAAATCAAAGTTTTTCAAAGTGATGGAGGGGGTGAATTTGTTAATTCTCATATGCAGCAATTTTTTAATCAAAATGGTATTTATTTTAGAAAATCCTGCCCTGACACACCTCAACAAAATGGGGTGGCTGAGCGTAAACACCGTCATCTCTTGGAACTTACTAGGACTATGCTTCTTGAGGCATCAATTCCTAGTAAGTTTTGGGTAGATGCCATCTTAACCGCTGCATATATTATTAACCGTTTGCCATCTCCTCTACTTAGTAATTTATCTCCTTTTGAAAAACTATTTCAAAAAGCGCCTGACTATTCTTTTATGCGTGTGTTTGGTTGCTCATGTTTTCCAAATCTGTCTGCCAACTCGTCTAATAAGTTATCTGCCCGTTATGTTCATTGTGTTTTTCTTGGCTATGCATCTAGATATAAAGGGTATCGTTGTCTTGAGCCTAATTCCGGTAGGATATACATTAGTCGTCATGTTAGATTCCTTGAGAACAATTTTCCCTTTCCATCCCTTACTTCTCTGTCTAGTCAACCCAATTCTGATGTTTCCAACTCTCAATTTTCTCTCACAAACACTCTTAGACCAGCTGCCTTACCCATACCAGCCACTACTCCTACCATACAAGCAGTTCAGCCCGCAGCTCCTTCCCCTGCCTCCACATTAAAATCCGCCCACCCCAGTTTACCTTTCCCCTCCACTCTCGGTTATAGCAGCCCTTCCAGTAACACCCAGCCCTTCATCCCGTCTCCTACAACCTCCAACCAGTCCTCCAGGCAGTTTGCTACGCCACCCAGCCCGTCCGACAGCCCACCTGCTGCACAACCCGTCAGCCCCCATGCGACTCCACACAACCAGCTCACCATCCCATATATGAGCAATGTGGAATTGTGGAGACCATAGAGGAAGTTGTGTTACTTGTGTAGACATGATTCAAGCCCCAGCCTAGCTACTAAAGTAGTAATCAAGCTCTGAGAAGCAAAACTATTTTATAATATCAGTCAACTAGATATACACAATAAGCATCATATGTAGCACCTCATAAATCATGTTTGAACTACAAGAAAATACCTTGAGTAGAGAAAGAGCTTATAGAGTATTTGTGCAATTCGGCCTGCTTGGAAACAGAGTGGTTAAGAAGGATCACATGTTAAGGCATAAGCTTTGAACTGAATTTAAATGCATAATTCCAATACATATCAAGATTATAATGCACAATGTATCCTATCATTAACATATTTCCTCGTGTATAACCTATAATTAATTAGTGGTTATTGTTAAGCATTTCATTGGGGTGGAAAAGCATATTATGTTAGTACAATAATCATCTCTAAATTATAATCAATCCATGGAGATCAACCCAGAATTTGGTTTAGTACAATGAGTCTATGATGTTGTACTTCTTCCATTCTTTTTTAGTTGCACCATGTTTCAATTTACAGCGCACTACTATTCTGAACATTAATATATTTCCATTACTATAAATTATGAAAAATGATACGTAGTATGTTGGAAATATACATTAAGACAATTTTCACTCTATTTACATGATATGATTTTTATAATACAATGACAACAAATTGACAAAACATAACAAGAGTAGGTAACGTGAATAGCACAAATGTAAAACTATTAAAATTAATATAGGACAGTGAAAATATTAGTTGAGACTAGCTTTGGCACGTAGATAATGGATACTTTTGGGATGGAGAATGTCTCAGGAATCAACGGCTACATTTGGAAACGGAATTATCGAAAGTAACAAACGGATACTTTTTGGCACAGATGTTTTCCCTACCAGATTAAATCCATCTGATTTTTTGAATTTTTTCGGTTGTGGAACGGATTTTGTCTCAGAATGTTGTCTCGGTTACATAACCGACGCAATTTGACACGGATTTTGGATCGGATCCGTCTGCCATCCAAAACTTTATTGTTTTTTCGTCTCTAGGGCGGAATTCGGAACGGAAATTCCGCGCCAAACCCGAAATTTTGATTGGCGGCAACTGTTCCGCGCCAAGACCGAAAGTTTAGCTTTTGCGAGCCAACAACCGAGATGAACTTGGTACGGCTATTATCCGTGCCAAACTACCGTGCCTATAACGAAGTTTTTTGATAGTGTAGTCATAAATTAACCTAGACTTGCTTAATTAATTTGCAAATCCCTTCCGGTTCATGTAAAAAACATTGACATTGTCTTTAATTATTATGCCCCCAATTTCACTATTTTTGGAATTTGTCAGTGTATTTTAGATAAATTAATGACTTAATGTAGCCATACTGGCAAATGACCCGTTGCAATGTCGATTTGGTGAATTAATATGATCAGATAAAAGGGTTGGGACGTGTAAAAGGTTGGGACGTGTAAAAGAATGTGTATACCGATTTGGGCCACCACGGTCTTGGCGGACCCATCTTTGCCATTTCTGCCGGCCCAGGTCGACGTCATTGTGGTAGAGGACGTAACCAATAATCATATGTTAAGAGTGCATTTTTACTTCACACGCGTGCACACACACATATATAAGAGTTACTACCTCCGTTCCATTGATATTGTCCCAGGAGAGGGTGACACGGTTATTAAGAAAAGTGGGTTTGTGTGGTTGATATTAATTGATAAAGTAAGAATAAAGTAAGAATGATTTAGAGCCACACAAACTTTGCCAAATATGGTATGAGACAATTTAAGTGGGACTTCCCGAAAAAGTAAAACGGGACAATATAAATGGGACGAAAGGAGTATTGATTACAAAAATAGAGTTGGAAACGGAAAAAATTGAGAGTTGAATCGTTGATTGTGTCTGGGAAATATGCGGGAATCTTGAGCAGCAGGGGCGGAGCCAGGGGTCAGGGTGGTCATCCGACCCCGCTGAAAGTTTGAGAATATAGAGCTCTGAAATATATTCGATTTGATACATTATGGTCCCCGTAACTCATTACGAGTAAAAAGTTATGATTTCTGAGAAATCAGCACTATTTAAACGTAAAATCAGCACAATTTGATGCATACTATAGATTAATTTCCCAAATTATCAAAATATTGTATAGTTTCACTCAATACTTACGTGACACGACTCAGAAACAGAGCAAAGACAATCTATCTTATTGCGACAAGTGTCTATTTATCTAAACTGCATATGAAATTAAACTCGGACATTATTTAAAAACGACCCATCATTTTCATTCTGTGTATATAGGTTGAGTTTCAACCCCACTGAGCAGTTTTTCTGGCTCAGCCCCTATTGAGCAAGATAAACTTTAGGTGTTAATTTTGGATTATAATTTTTTTTGTTGATTTATGATAAATCTCCTTATCTTTGGGGTTCATTAATTTTGGATCAATTCTTCAAAATTTCTTGAGAGATCATTTTCAGAGCAGGATCATTTGTATTTAGACTATGTTTGTCTTATTTGCACGTTTACCATGTTTCCAAACCATCCCATATCTATCAAATGTAATATTAAGATAATTATGCGCAACTTGTCCGAAATATACGAAATCAAGGAAAGCAACTGAATTAAAGCACCATCACGCATCAAATTAACAGAGCAAATATGTACAAAGACCGTCCCACTATGTTTAGGATAATTCGATTTACGATGCTTGATTGACGATATTATCAGAAAAAAATTACATATTCAGAAACTACATTGAAACTTTACAAAGTCGCAAAACTCG